CTTACCCTCAAGGTAAGATGCAGCAGTAATCACCTCCTCCTCCTGCAAAGTCCTCTTCGCCTTTACCCATACCGGAACCGTTCTCAACCATGTGTTGAGTTCCTCGTCCTTCTTCTCTCCGGAGAAGGCAAGGGGCGGTCATAGGGGTCTTTGGGTACCATTGACCTTGCTGCTGTCCCTGTTGAGGAACAGGTTATTGCGGTGATGGTGTAGCAACCACCGCTGACCCAGAAGAAGAAGAAGCAACAGTCTGTGCAGCTGCTGCAGACGTACCACTTGGTTGTGTGCCAGCTTGTACCGGAAAGGGGCCTGACATCGCCATTAACGGCAACGGCGACTGTGCTGCTAGCCGGAATCCTGGCCTTTGCAAAAGATCCAAGATCTGGTCTAAAGAGTTCTGCATGAAGTCCAACCTGCTGTCCACATGCGCATGCAGCGACAACATGCTTTTCTTCAATATTTTCACTTGGTCAGTCATGGCTGACTCATCCAAACCCTCTAATGCAGCTTTGTCTGCCTCTAACGTATCAAGCCTGGCTGCTCTTCTTTTGATCTCATTTTCTCTATCGGTTGCTTGCTTCAGTTCCCTCTCTAACCGTTCGCGAATCCTTTCGACCTGTTGGAGCTTTAGGAGCTCCCTACCGCGTGGGGTCAACGGGCTTAACTGCGAGCCCGCCATTTGACTTGTAGACTGCCCAGAACTCATTGAACCCGAAGTACCCGTGGGCCCAAGGGGCATTCCCAACTGGGTCCCAGACGAGGACCCAGCAGAGCCTGCGCCATTAGCCATTGCTGCTGCTCTGGCTGCGGCTGCCTGCTCCCTAGCTGCTTCGTTTGCTGCTGTCAACTTTGCTGTAAGAGCACGGGCTCTTCGTTCGGCACGAAGCCGTCTTTCTTCTTCCGGTTGTAAGGCCTGAAACACGTGCGGGACCCTAAGTGCCCTTGAACGTGTTAGTCTCCTATTGTCAACTCTACCCTCATCGATGTCTGACCCACTCATCAGTTAGGCAAACACTGTCTGCACTACAACCCCCTAGTGGAGTCCTACCACAGCATGTGTCTGACCGGCACCTAATTTTCTAAAAATAATTGTGTCCGGCAGGTCCCCTACTTTACCGATCAAGTGGCAGCCTACAACATTCACTAAAGACTGTCAACATAGTTTAGTTCTACTGTGATTAGTTCACTTACAACAGCATTAGATAGAACTGGCTATGGTAGTATACAACAGTCCTACTCTAATCTGTCTATGAGGTGTTAGCAGTTGTCAACCAACTAATCAATAATAAAACAAGACTATGTTGCAGATGTATGAATAGTGGGTATGGTTGTGTTTCCAGTTGAGCACCAATTAGAACCTACCCTCCCCTCAATCCAACATACCGAAAAGCATCTTTGAGCAGCAGTGTCTTCGTGTGTTATGTCGGCCCACCCCTGTCCCCAAGTCATTGCCGAGCAAGCCAGCCCATCCACTCTTATTTACCCTCGTATGGAACGAGCCTTACTACCCGGATTGATCTGGCTGATCAGGAGGGATTTAAGGAGAGCCCCCATCTCCGCAGGAATTATTTAACGTCGCAGACAGGATGACGATCACAGCCAGAATCAACACCGAGTTCCCCTCCAGAAATATTTATAGACGGTCTGGATAGCGTCTCTTATGGGTTGGCACACCCGGCACGACTTCTACAGCGCAGCAAAGTGCCAAAATGGACAGCAGCCATCGCATGCGTGACCTACTCCCATTGGGTTGGCATGGTGACCGTGACCCAGTGCTTCGACCAGGGCCCTTCAGAGGCACCGCCCTTTCTCCTTCCAGATGCTTCCGGGAAGATTGTCGTCTCTCAAGGTAGCGCGCACAATACACCTCACCAAAAGAGAGGACTCTCAAGTTGGACTCACTTCCTCGCGGTAAGAAGAGATTGAGAGAGTAGATAAGGTAAGGGAACAACGTACCTGAAGATAACTGCCCCCAACCACAGATTTCTCACCAATTGAGCTGAGTGTGCATTTGATGACCGGTCGTAGCCTTGGTACCACCCACAACGCAATGCAGTGCCACCTCAGCTTAATGCCACATCAGCATGCTCTCATCACCAATCATACATTCCGCTGTAACCACGGCAACCAATGCCGTATAGCCTTCCGGCGCACACCTCTCTACCCAGGCCGTGCGCCTATTATGGCCTGACGTCACAAGAACCAACTGCGAAGAAGCATCGTCAACGCACCAAGTCTGTATAACGCCAGCGCACCAAGGTAAGTGGCGAATCRAACCAGCTCCGATACCAAAATGCAAGGAACATGAATGTGGACGAAGCACAGAAATCCAGATTGCAAAATCACACTGAAGTCCAAGTAGTCAAAGCAAGAGCAGATAGCACAATGGAACCGAGTAACCATCCATTTGAGAATGATACAGAAGAATTGTGAGTCAATGTCCAAGCCCAATCGGGCAACACCAACAGCAGAACCCAATGTAGCTCTCTCTCTTGAATGGCGCCAGGCGCCCTACCTACTCTACAGCCTATCACTACAACTACAGCAATGAAAGCAACCAGACAACTTGACGACCAGCGAGTGATGATGTCAACACCAATGCCGACCTCCTCTTCACCAGGTACGTCTCTCTCTTCTCCCTCACTCTCCCTTGTTATCCCACACAGCGCCCTTCACCTCCGAAGAACCACCTTCGCCCTTCACCTCCTCTGCGCCCTTCAGGCAGCCCGGCTATGGCCGCCAGCGCCCTGTGCACAGGCAGCGCCCTACCGCTTAGCGCTAGCCTGTCTCCCTCAGCCGCAGCGCAAGTGCAGCGCCCACCCGCCCTGCTTGCCTATATGCCAGTGTTGCGTGTGGGCGGCCTCCCTTCAGCCTGCGCCTGGGCCCCAGTACCTGAACCCAGGCCCGATGCGGTTGGGGCCCAGGAGATGCAGTTGCGCCTCTTTCATCAAGGCCTGCGGCCAGATTCAGATAGTGGACCGGTTTGCCATTGGCATTTTCGGCCTCTATTTCCAGCGTGCATTGTCGGCCTCACGTTTATGAGCCCAGGGCCTAACCAACTCTGGGGCCCTGGGAATTTCTGCATTTGCAGAGCTCCGATACTTGGTGCACTCCAACCAACTGGCGTGCTGCAACTGTATGGACCCCACTTCATGGAATGTTTGCACAGAGGGCTCTTGTTGATTTGCTGGCCCGCCTTCACTTAGGGCGGGCACGAGGCTTGCTGGTGCCTTAGCCCAGAACATGTACATCATGGAAAGGCCCCTTCTTGAGGGCTCAATCCTCACAACAACCTCAATTCTTGACCAATCGATGTCATAAAATCAAGCCTTTCATGCACACGGAAGAAGAAGAGGAGGAGGAAGAAGAAGAGGAGAAAGAAGAGAGAAGAAGAAGAAGAGGAAGAGGAAGAAAGGAAAGGGCACAAAGAAGCAAGCATGGAACCAATGCAAGTAAGTGAAATCTCCCGAACGTAACTCAGTTGAAAAATGATGACAGTGAAACATAGCAACTGAGTATGAAACCGTGGCTGATCCGACCGGTTTCGGCTGGCTGCCACACCAGCAACTCAACAGGGACCTTTCGGTGTTTGTCGGTAAAGACTTACTCACTGTAGCAGTATATATCTTGCTTCGATAGAAGTTGGGAACGACAGTTCACTATCGGATTGACGCGAAAAAAATCGCGTCGACAACTTCCAGACATCTGACACCAAACAGATCCTACGGACATCCAGACCGGAGTTTAAGTCCTGTCGTAAACGTTTCTAGAAAAACCTTACCAGGTCCAGAAACCTCCAGCAGTTCGAGAGTCCAAGTGCTATACCCCATATTCGGTCTTAGTACATTACCAGAAAACAGGTACCAATACCGGGGCCTCGGTCTTAGTACATTACCAGAAAACAGGTACCAATACCGGGTTCGAGGCCGAACAAATCCCACTTCCTACAATCAATTTGTCACGCGGCCTTCGAATACCCTTCTACAGCCCAAAACCCAACACTGCACAACCCGACACCCTCAAATACTTATTCCATAGGCCCTTAGCCGGGCTACCACTCAATTGACCGACAAAGCGCAACATCTCAGCATAAAAAACACCGAACAAAGTTCAACAAACTAAGCACTGCAATGTCACAAGCCCTACGCCGGGCTGTTTCCCACAGAACTTCCACTTCAGAAGTAATTACTCCATCCGGTCAGAACAGGAATCCACTCACTCCATAGCCCAGAGAACTTATTGGAGAAGTTGATCAGGGAGTTATCGAAATAATGATCCGGGTATCCACGTCGCCATAGCTCCAGCTTTAGGGTAAACAGAAAGGGTAATTCCATTCCTGCAGCAGTCGTGAAACTCCTCGCACGATGGAAAAAGGATCCTATAACCGCCATCTTCTGCTGTCGACTAGAATAAGACGAAAAATCCTGCAAACTTTGGAAGGTCAACTTATCCTCCTTGCAGCTGTGCTGATTCTTATGCATAGGCATACACACAAGCTTGCCTGTCTTCTCAAAAATTTTCAGAACACAACCTAAAAAATTCCAGCACTGCCCCTCATTTGTTTGTTCCAGTATCAGATTACAGTCATAGCAATCAGAAAATTGTTTGATCAACTCCTGCCCACGACTCTTCGATGACAAATCCCCTTTGCTACATACAACAAAAACAGATACATCGTCAACTAGCCGACACCCATGCACCAGTCGTCGCTGCGAGCCCAAGGCGGTCAAGAAAAGATACTCATTGAAAGCAAGAAGTAAACACGCAAGAGCGGGACTCAATGGCTTGCCCATGGGAATTCCTACCATCTGTGGAAGAAGCCTACCAGAGACAAAAACAAAGGTATTACCAAGCTCAAAGGATACGAATGAGACCATCTGCTGAAACGATACACATACACAGCCTTCCTCCTCCTTGGTTTTGCTTAACCTAGCAATCTTACCTCTCTTACTTACCGCGGTCGGGGTTGGCCACATATGGTCTGTGTTCAAGACACTTGTACAGACTCACCTGACCATAGAAGAGCCAGGAGAAGGACATTGCCTTCTTATGCCCATGGCCTCGAAGCAGAGAGTAGTGGAGTGACCCTGCAAGTCCCCCCACCCCTCCAGGATTGAAGTCTTCGGGCTGGATGGCAGGACCAGGCAGAATGCATTGGATTTTCCTGTTTGGAGAAGTAGCCCGGGAACTTGGACGCATTTCAAGTGTCTATGGCGCCAATGAGATCAGAGAGAGATTTGGATTTTTTGACAGGCTCCCGTTCACCTTACACGGCAAAATACCGCTGATCATCGCTCAAGACTTCAGAGCTGCGCTTAACGGATGGAGGGACGAAATTTCAACCTTGGAGGCATTACTCAGCCATTTAGAGAAGATAACTTTGTGTACATTAATATTGTCTTCGGTACCTATGTCGTGGGACCAACAAAGTGTGATTTTTGGGTCTTTTTTTGCCATGACTGCGAGTTCCAGTGTTCCGTGATTATCAATTACAATGTACATGATGATCAGTCTTGAAGACCGAAAAATGGATCGCTAGGCGCCAACCCTCAGACTACCAAATGTACAAACGACAAGATTAATGTTCGCTCAGTTAGATGAGCCTATAATCCCAACTGTCTCTCACCATGACAGGCTCAATATGGTTGATTCTTTCCGTAGTTAGAGCCCAAAAAGAGGTGGTTCTCCTTCTCCAAAAACAAAGGACTAGGGCAGATATCTCATTCATAGATTTGATCCTCATG